CGGCGCGCACTCACCGCCGCTGCTGGTGAAGTAGAACACCATGGTCCCGGCGGCCGCTCCGCCACCCCGCGCCAACAGCCGGCCTCGGATCCTGAAGCTCCGGGTGCCAGAAGCGCCGCGACGGCCGCTCGCCGGAAGCCGCGCGTGCACTTCCGGGTTACGTCGGGTCGCGTCACAACGCCGTCCGGCGCTGCCATCTTTAATCCTGGGGCGGGAACAAGAGGATTTGAAGGGGGAGAGCGAGCTGTTGCGGGGGAAGCTGGTGGCCGGCAGGGGCCGCGGCTCCGGCGGTAGAACGCCTGCCTGCGAGCACGCGGCCCTGAGTTCAAACCCCGTAATGCCGCCGCGGGGAACTGCCGCCGGCGCCATCTTGTTGGGAGAGGGAGCCGTTCACTTCGCCAGACTGTCTTCGCCGCCGGAAGTCCCCGTGCCGAGCCCTGGACGAGCACTTCGTAGGAGTCCATTGAGTTTTAAATGAGCCCACGTTCCTCCGCGCGGTGACAAAGCCTTTTTGTTTGCTTCGTCAGACTTTAATCCGCCCGGGCATTTGCTAGTCAGCTCCTGCGTAGAAAAGATGTCGGCCGAGTGGGGACGGCCGGAGCCCTCCACCACCTCCTGCGAGCCGAGCCCGTCCTGCTGTGCCGTGGGGGCTGTGCTCAGTAATAACGGACGGGGCCTTGCCCGTGCGCTAGGCCTCTCCTCCAGTGAACAACTTGGATCGATCCGCCCTGCTTCAGTGGTGCTGAATACGTTATTCTTAACATGTTTCAATAAGCAAAATTGTTTCAGAGGTTTTTTGGTTATTTGTTTTGATTCGAACTCAGGGCCCTACACTTGCTAGGCAGACACTTAACTGCGGAGTCACTCCTCCAACCTATTTAATAATTTTTTTCTGGAACATACCACTCTACTTCTTCCATATATGTCTAATAACCCTTATAATCATTTTTCTCCTGTGCCTGCCTGCCTCTGCGTGGTTCCCTGGGATGGATGTGAAGGATCCTTCAAGGTGTATGTTAGGTATATTAATTTCATCTGCCAAACAATAAAAATGGAATACTAAACTCCGAGTATTTTGCTAAGGTTAAGTAAGTTAATAGGTATCAAAAATTTAGAAGATTGCAGTTAACTGAGTTGCTAGCCAGTAAAATGCTGGTCTGAAGAGTTTGTTGTTAAACTGTTCTACCTTTAAAGTACACATCTCTTACCTATAAAGTTGGGTAAATCATGAACCTCAAAGGCCCTCTTGCTATAAAGTAGAATATGTATAAAATTCATTACAAACTTCCAGCACTAAGTTTTGACTTGGTTACTTTTCTTACTTCTGGTGCCATAATTTTGGACAGAGTTCTTCCAGTAGGCCCCAATAGACCGGATCAAGCCAAAATGGAGTCACTCATGCTAAATACCATTTAATCAGACTGAAGCTTTAAAGAAACAATAGGTTCTAAAACATACCAGTCTTTTCTAAAGATGGGGTATTTCAGTCTAGTTGAATTTGCACAATAGAGAAGTCTTTCACATTTTAACTCTTACCAAAAAAGTCCCTTGAGGTAAACTGCTATCAACCTGTGCTTTTCCTATTGTTCCCGTTCTTTCTTATCACAAAATCCACCATTGTGTTCGAGCCCAACAGAAGCTTTTCTTAAGCTTCCTCTATTAAGTCCTTAATAAAAGCCAGTAAGATCTTTAATTTTTTGTGCAATTTTGTCTTTTGACACTTCAGTCTGACCAACCAAAACAGTAATTAAAAAACCGAGGGGGTCATAGTTTAAGAACAGTCATGTTGGGGCTGGGAAGGTGGTTCAGTGGTAGAGCGCTTGCCTTGCATGCCTGAGGCCCTGGGTTCGATTCCTCAGCACCACATAAGCAAAAAGAAAAAAGCTGGAAGTGGCGCTGTGGCTC